AAGAGGGATTGAAAGCCTAAAAGTCTAAATTCGGGTTGGATATGTTGTCTCTTTGAAAGGAATACAAGATTAATGAAGAGTCATTTTCTTCCTGTATTTTGAATTTTATGGCATGAATTAAGTCTTAAGATTTTTTTAAAAGCTTTCTGGTATTCTGGAACTTCTACTATTGGAAAACACAGTGTTCTTCATTAGAATTTCTATTAGACTCTGTGCATTTTTTGTCTTTTAATTACTGTTATTTTTTAATTACTGTTATTAATTACTTATTTTCAGCTTTTATCTTACTCTTATTTGGCAATACTATTAGAGAATATTCTTGGATGCTTACGGTACTTTTCAAACATCAAAAAGCAAATGAGAGAGCGCAGTTTTGCCAAATTTTTTGAACATACCTAGAGTGACTTAGAGTCCTTCCTAAAAAGGATTTGAGCCCCAAAATCACTTTCCCTATTATACCAACTTTCACAAAAGATGTAGAAAAGTCAAGTCAAAAGGAAGATGTACGAAGTCAAGGGACTTTGCCAGGGTCACACCAGCATTTTGTGACTAAGGAAGGAATGGAGCACAAATGTTTGGGATCTATTTGGTCTGCATTTGACTGTGGAACTTTCCTTCTGTGAATGTTGTCTAATTATTATGGTATGAGAGTATATATCAATTATTATGGTCTGAAAGATTAACATAAGAAATTATTTTTTAGAAAAAGTTTTCAACCTTTAAAAAAATCTGAATTAAACATTCAAAGACAAAACTAAGCTCAGAAAATAGTGTAACAGCATGTGCAATTCTTTGCTGCTTCTTGCTTGTTTGTAGACTTGTTCCTTTTCAATAGCTTGCGAGAAGCCTAGATTCTCTTGTAGGAACACTGTAATCTGTTTTGGGGGGCTGAATTAAGGAACAAAACCATTAAAAATCAAAGCAATGAGCATCCAAATGCCTGTTGATGATCGGGGTTGAGGGCATATGGATTTATTAGTGGAATACTTGTGAAGCAAATACCTGAATTTGGTGTTAACCTTAGACTTTAACCTCATGACTTCTGTAGCTTTTGTGTACCTTGTTTTTCTCATTGTTTGTTCTGCTTCATCTTGAACAGGAGTACAGGCTCTCGATTTGCGGCAAATTATGCTATGCAATAGGAGGTGCCCCAAATCAAGTGGCAGGGAGTGCTGCTGCTTTCTTCCTACAGATCTACCTGCTAGATATAGCCCATGTAAGTAGCACAAGCAATCTTTAGAGATTGTAGACTTTCCTCAACTCTGATGTTGTCAACAATGTCCCTGGAATGATAAAAGGTGAATTAGCTAATAAAGCTTTTAAATTGTCTTGTTATCATTGCCTCTAGCTGTTCAGCATCCTGGAAACTGCATAAACTTGTCCAGAATTTTTTTTTCTTCTTTTTTCACTCGTTTCCTTTCTGTCTTGAAGTGGCCATTGTTTGCTTTTAGTTTGGGATTGTTAGTAGAGCTTTAGGCACTATAGACCTCACACGCTTGCAGACACAAGAAAAAGCAGTTCTCTGTATCAAGAGTCAGAGAGTGTAAGATATGAGACATCTGAAACATTAATAGCACCATGTTGAAGTTGTGAAGTTTTGTTCATTTGGTTTAGTTAAATCACTGCAGTTGCATCCAGTGGTCAACATAATTTCACATACATTTTATTTGGTTTGTTTACGATAATTTCTTTGCAAAGAAAGCTGAGTTATCCTTCCTGAAGGTTCTTTGTTTCCAGTCTGTGACTTTCTGGTGCAGAAGCAGACCTTGTAAAACAAAGCAGTAGGAGTCATCCCATTCATCTGACTTTCAGCTGCTCCAGCTAGATTTCAGGACAGCAGAGAAACAAAAAAATCAACCCATAAGCATTTTTTACTGTTTTGGATTGTCTTGTATGTCTGCCTGGTAACTAGGTCAGACAGATAAAATATAGCATAGAAAAAAGGATTTTAAGGAGATGAGGCCAAATTGCAGAGAGTGTGAGAACTGCTGTAGCTGAAACTACATGAGTGGCTTTCAGCACTGATGACTGTTTTTATTTGCTGGAAAGAACAGGAGGTTCTGGATCAGATATTGTTATCCTCTTGCTGTTTAAGATGTAGAAAAACAGGATATCATGTCTGGGGGAGTGGAGGTGTCCAAAAGATTGGATTTATGGTTTTCCTATAAAAGTCTGATATCAGAAGCTGAGGTGTGACTTACTTGAAAATTGGCAACATGGTAAGACTGGCATGTAAAACTGAGATCTTGAGTGTCCCATTGAGGTCAAAGTCACAAGATGTAGAAAACGGGCCAGCTTTGGAAAACAGCGTCAAGGATGGCAAGTGGATGGTGTGGAGTCTGAGGAGTTGGAGGTGGAATAGGTAACTTGGAGATGCAGCAGGGAGGTGGATGCAGCTCGGACTACAGTTGTTTCAGACTTACATCAAGGATGGCAATAAAAGCCATTGGAGATGATGAAGCATGAACTGAATAAGAAAGACACTAATACAATTTTCCTAGGGTGCTTATAAATACGGGAATTTCCCCACCCTCTGCTTATCACAGAAATTGAAAATTCTTGAAGCTAGGGACTGTTTATTTCTTTTTCTGTTTGTGTACAGTGTCCAGAAAGCTGGGGTCCCATTCCTGCATCTTTGGGCACTACCTAAATAAATCACGTAATAATAATTATTTTGTTAACAAGCTCCTACTGAAACCCAGTAATTTTGCTTAATATTTGTAATGATACACTTACTACTTCATTAAGGGGCTTAATTATTTGTTCCTTGATGGTCTAGTTTGTTCTCTGAAGTAATCATAGAATCATAGAGGTCTTTTCCAACCTTAATGATTCTAAGATCATCGAGTCCAACCGTCAACCCAACACCACCATGCCCACTAAACCATGTCTCTAAGCACCTCATCTACACGTTTTTTAAATCCTCCCAGGTTTGGTGACTCAACCAGTTCCCTGGGCAGCCTGTTCCAAGGCTTGACCACTCTTTCAGCAAAGAAATTTTTCCTAATGTCCAGTCTAAACCTCCCTTGGCGCAACTTGAGGCCATTTCCTCTCGTCCTAAATCCTGCAGGGACAGGATTTATTTCAAGGCCTGATAAACAGCTCTGAAATCCCGTGGGTTTTTCCACACATTTTCAGGGGAGAGCATGTAATTTCATAGTCACTACCTGGATTTAATTCTTTCTCACTTAGAGGGCAGAACTGTTTTAGCTCTTTGAGAGATTGGGAAACTCAGTAGGTGTAATCTTTCCTATATAATCCTTTCTAAGAAAGTTACATTTGTATTCACTTCCTGTAGCTTACAGTTTTTCCTTTTGAATTCCATGTTCCACCTAAATTACCTCTATAAACTGCAGACATATAATGTAACTCCAAACCACCACAAATTACTATAAAGCACCAAAACCTCTGATAATAGGATCCTGGCCTTTATTCCTTTTGAGATGGGTGAATTCAGCATATTTTATCTTGTATTTTATTAACACTGAGAAGTTTCTGGTATTGGTGCTGACAGACACTGTCTAGGTTTAGGGGCTAAGAAAATGCAGCCAAGGGATTTATAAGCCCCTAGCGATGATGAAGACAGGGTGACTATGCAGACTCTACTCCTAATGTAAGAGAGGTTTTGATTTTCCTCAAGGCTTTCTTCCACTTCTCTTTATGTAGTATCCACTTCTTTTCTGTCTATTCACATTATCTGAACAAAACACCAATGCAAAACCCACCTAATTTGAAGCTTCCTGTCTCCGTGTCCCTCATCACCGTGGTATTTGAACCCCTGTATCTTTCTGACTGCTGTTTTGTTCTTGTTTTGGCTGATCTGTCTCTTGAGAAGCAGTAGTGACTTGTGAGCAGTTCCAGCTCAGCCCCAATGGCAAGTCTTCCTCAGGGTTGGTGGGTTTCTTGCCCCCCTAGCTGTGGGAAGTACAAGTCAGTGAAGATGGATGAAGCGAACATCAGCAAACTGCTGTGGGACACAGCCCAGTGCTCATGCCAGCCTTGTCCTACAGTGCAGCAATAGAATGCTTGGAAAGCCACTGTCATTACCTGCTGGAGGCTACCATTCCCAATCCCCTGTTCATAAGCTTTCTAGGGTGGAGTATGTGTCTTGGAGCTGGTGGTGTCAGGAAGATTGGCTGCCCCTGTGATTTCACCTAATTTGGGCTAAAATTTAACAAAGGTGCATAGCATCTGCCTTTTACAAAGGTCATCCAGGACATCTCAGAGATTATTGCTTCTTTCTTTCACCTCTGAGGAAATACCTGCAGCAAATTCTGCAGGCAGGGGACCTGGACCAGCTGGAAGCTGTGTGATGCTGCCTAGGAGGCAATAAGCTCTGCAGAAAAGCTGGGGATACTAGCTCAAGCTTGGTGTTGTATCAGCTGCATCTGCCAGGCTTCCCGCTGGGTTGGAGCACTGATAGCATGAAGAAGTATATAGGTGAAGGGGTTTTGTCTGCTGTCGCTGTTTAAGCCCCATAGGCTGTTTCAGCAGTCTCTCGCTCTCTCTTTCTCCCCCCACCTTTTTTAACCATTGTGTGATATGAATTCCTAAGCTCTGTACAGATATATGTGAAAAATTACATTGCTTGGCATAAACTGTATTTCTATATAGGCACTTAAGTGTGGTCCTTTTGGGTTAACTTCAAAGGCTTTTCTACTTGGCCATTTTATTCTTACGTAATCCGTGAACATTTTTCAAGTGAGATTTGTTGGACATGTGCTGGCAACTTTGATTTGAACAGATGTGCCTTATGCAGTTCAGTTGTCACAGTTCAGTTCTGAGTGGATAAAGTGTGCTGTGCTACAACCTCTTCCACAGCCACATGCCACCAGTTGGCAGCCTTGTTGGTAATCTCGGGAGATTAAAAAACATGAATGCATATAAACAGCTCCCTCTACTTTTTTCTAGATCAGATCAAGATAAAGATACGGGGAAATGGGGCTGTGTGGGGAACAAAGTGAGGGGATGATTACAGAGGGACTCTGTCAGGTTTTATGACTAAAACAAGGACTTCGGTCTACTATTTGACCATCTGACTCATTTTCCTAGTTCTAAACACATTCATAATCTCTCCTTCCTTGCACTTTTCCCCTGTAATACCTTCTTGCACGGTGCCTGTCTCAATGTCTCATTTGTTTGCTACGGGTAACCAACAGTAATTTCTATGACAGCAACGGACATGTTTTGTAAATGAACTATCATTATTCTTTAAAACACTGAGGGTTTTTTCTGGAAAGTTGCTTTATGCTCTTTCATTGTATTGTGAAACAATGGCTCTTGTTTACAGTATTCTGTCTGTACTTTCAGATTACTCCGTTTCATGCCTCTCTGGTGCTGTTCATTGGCAAAGCCTCAGGTGCAGTTACTGATCCTGTTGCTGGCTTTTTTATTAGCAAAAGTAGATGGACAAAAATTGGCCGGCTCATGCCTTGGTAAGCATAAATTTGTACATATATTTACATATATAATATGAATATTGTGTGTACTGTGATCATACAGTCACCTCGTTGAATTAGACTCATTTTTCTTTGCCTGTTTCCCAGACAACAGTGACTGTATTAATTCTACATATATAAAACCAAAAAGAAAAATTGTCATGTCATCTATTTCCCTTTAGCTTGTTCACTCATGAAACCATAGAAGAGATTTTCTACCACTGGAGACACAAACAAATAAAGCCAAGACACTGCATTGTTAACAAAACTGGAAGCTCAGATCTAAAACTTTCTTGAATCTGTGGTTGAATTTTCATCTTTGTCTAGATTCCTTTAGTTTGGCTTCTCTCCTCCACAAAGTTGGAACTTGTTTCTGCTTGTGTCCTAGTGTGCCTTCACTTCTCATATCAGCCTTCCAGGAGCTCTGTTAATTTTAATTCTCTAGGCCTTTCAATTCAGTGAAGGATGTGTGCATACATATGGAACAGATGTGACACCATGGCATTGAAGGGCTCAGCAACCAGCACTGCCCCGACACTCTGTTACATTCTTCCTCACAGCAGTCATTCTGGTCCTGCTTCTCTTGCATCCCTGTAATCAAAATAATTAAAAAATCACCATGACTTTTATAATGAATGCTGTAAGATTTTGATCAGCATTTCTAAAGGGACAGTGTGATGTTCCACTATGACATACTTATCCCTTGCATGCACTCTAGCTGGTACACTTGTACATGTGCTGTCCATGTGCTATAAGGGGAGATTAGAAGAATGAATGTTACTCGTATAGGAAGGAGATTGACAGGTGTGAAGCAAGAAAATTGGGAAGGATTGGTCCATGTTAGAGGAATCCAAGCTTGTCTATGCCATAGGGCATTTATTTGTTGTGTTTTTTATATTTTGGAAGTCAAGGGGAGACTGAGTAGTTTGTGAAATAGGGAGTCTTTCATCACTACTCTATCTCATGCATTATAAGGATGTATTGTAAGATATTTTGAATTAATTATTAATTTTGAATTAATATAACCCCCAAACTTGATTCACAACACAAATCTAAGAGTAAATGTGGTATCCTGAGCAAAGAAGTTGAATTGTCGTGGAAAATAAGCCCAGTTTTTTAGCTGGTTCTCTTGCTGTCATGTGGTTTTACGACTACAGAAACTTGTCTGGGGCAAGCATATGTTGGAAGAAGGCTGAGATCAGCTGCTCTTGGCCACAGCAGGAACAGGGCCTTCAGGTCAAAGTTGAGCTTTTTGTCAAGAGCCTCATGGGAAAAGAGGAGCTTGCTGCTGTTTCTCTTTTCAGGATTTGGTTTGTGGCCAGGTAAATGAAGTGCTTTTTAATGAGCGCTGAATTAACCAAGTAACAAAGTTATTTGAAAAGAAAATAATGACATTTTTATACAAATGCCATTAGATGTATTCTGATGCCTTTTTTTTTTTTTAGTTCTCTGAAAATATTGCAAATAATGTGTTTAGTGTTAGTGTTAAATCGATGTTAGGATAGAATCATAGAATCATTAAGGTTGGAAAAGACCTCTAAGATCATCGAGTCCCACCATCAACTCAACTCCACCATGCCCACTAAGCCATGTCCCTAACTCCCATCCTAGCACAAGCATGAACTTATCAGCCCTTTGCACTGTAAACCAACTACTGTACAACTTGCACTTCTTACAGGAAAAGTGCTTATCTAACCCAGCCTTTAATATGCATTCATCAAACAGCTTGCTTTCTTTCCAGAAGGATTTTGTCTGGTTTTTCGGGAATAGTAATTATTTTCATGGAAATTTTGTTCCTACACTTCGGAGGTCAGACCATATTTATACAAAGCAAAAAATGGGTCTTCCATTAGGTTAAAAATACTTCAGTATTTGAAATTATTCTGACTTCTTAAGTATCTAGAGTGAAGCAATGGAATTGGCTCAGTCAGAAAAGCTTGCCAGCAAAGCAAGAACATTAGTGAAGAAGCTGAACATTTAACTATAGCTTAATACTGTACTCAATGTAATAGGAAGTCATCAGTCGCTATTGATCTCTCTTATGTAATGTGTTTAAAAGGCATAAGCAGACATTGACTTGAAATACACAAACCCGGTCAAATATTTTATCAGATGAGATAATAGTAGACAATCAGATATTCAGGAACTTCAGCAAGGCTCTGAAAACTCACTGACATTAATGAGGAAAGGAAAATGTGGAAAGAGGATGGAAGGGGGGAAGAATACTAAGAGGGATATTGCTGAAAAGTTGCATGAAAAATTGACTATGAAAATATTTTACTGTGGTGACTCTGGACACCAATCTGGAAGAGCTCACACTTTTGGAGAGGAAGGTAGATTCCCTGAGATGTGTTAGGATTTTACCCTTATTTGTGTTTTCCATTGCTGACCAGCTGTGGATGAACTGTGGCCTGGGGACTGGAGGGACAGAGAATACCAGAACCTGGCACTTTCCTTGTAAATGCTCAGCCCCCAGTGATGCTGTCCATCCCAAAAAGCAGTGTGGGAAAGCCATTGTTTTACTAAACTATTTACCCACATTACTCTTTTGTATTGCAGGTTTTCAGTTCACGATTGCAAAATAATCAGCTGACCCCCAATGTCAGTAGTGCTGTTGTGAAGGGATTAATCTATTTTCCCTTTTATGTGTTTGGATATTTTTTGTTGGGATCTTGGTCATCTAATTACATTGTCTGATTTACAAGAATACAGGAGAACCCTGATGCTGCAACTCAGATTTTTAGGAAATAATAACATCTGACCACTTCTTCCATATCATGGAGTTTGACAAGTGTTGTTTGCCTGAAATAATTTTTAAACTAGTGTAATTAATTGCTGGTTAATGGCAATATCTGGAATTTAAGTTTCTGTCATTCTTTTTTTTTTAAGCCACCTTACTCACCAGAAGCTGATCCGTTTGTGTTTGAAGTAATTAGGAGTTTTGCTGTTGAGTTAAATGGAGGAAATTATCATATACCCAGATAGATACAGACTGTAGGAACTTTTGCAGTGGGCTGTCCATTATCATTTATGCTGTTTTCAGCATTTTGAAGTGTATCAACGTATTTGCACTTGCTTGAAGTAGCAATGAAGAGGCCAAGTTGAAAGGAAAACTGAAGGCATTAAAATAATCGGAAGAGGGAATCCTTGGTAATAAGTAGGCTCATGTAAAAATTGCTGAAGTATGCGAAGACATGTGACAATAGAGCTTAGTTTTCAGTGGTTCTTTCTAATAAATGTGTAGTCTAAGACATGTACTAAGGAATGGCAATATAGGTATGCTGTTACAGTGCATATGCAAGGAAATTGTGTCTGTTCTGAGTGGGATATTAACTTAAGTATAGCTCTTTTCCTTTAGATTTGCTGGGCTTTTTCCATTTTATGGAAGTATTTGTATACATTTTATATTAATCTGTGTATTTAATGTACATTAATGTTTAATACTTAAAAACATGGCATTATTGTAGCTAGAAAAACTGCACATAAAATAAATTGCATTATATTGATTATTAGCAGGAAAATTTAATGTGCTTTGCTATCATGATGTTGAAATCGTTGACATGTGTTAATCTTCTTTGCAGGATGCTGGCATGTACACCCTTCACAGTAGTGTCCTATTTTTTTATGTGGTACCTGCCTCCTTTTGTATCAGGAAGAGTTGCATGGTACCTGACTTTCTACTGCCTTTTCCAAGCACTGACCACAGTAAGTAGATTACAGGTCACGATGTTCTCAGCAGTAACTTGCTTGTTTTCTGTCTATGTTAATGCATTGAGATTTAGTAAACTGAGATTTACCAAAACTTTACATTTTATTTCAACCTCTAGTGAGTTTAAGGGATAGGCAGATGTCCTTTTATCAAACTCTCTGCTGGTTAATGGTTTCTGCCAATGCTTTCTCTGGCAAATGGCTTGCTAATTCTGACAGATTACCTCCAGTCACTTTCATTGGCAGTCCCCTTCTTGTATAGATCCACAGAGACATTCGGATTCCTAATTCCAGTTAGACATCCAACTTCTCATAACTTCTATTTTCAGGAGCAGATTAGGAGACCAAGTAGGTTTGTGGCTCCAGTTCTGGGTGTTTTCACTCAAGCTAAAAGGCAATGAAAAGTCAGGCAACCAGAGCTGAAATAGTACTGATAGTAGTCATCACGATATTTATACCTGGATAGAAGAGTTTGAGCACATGAATTTTTTAATACAGCCCAGAACTTGTAATATTTATGCAGAAGCCATCATTTCACTGGATCCCAAAGAACTTCTCTGACACGTTCCGTACTGTACGTGTAGGGGACGTTTTGCCTTGTAGCCAATATCAAGATGGAACAAGGTATCTTCTGTGCAAAGCAGGAGATTAGGACTGGAAGTGAGACAGCTGCATTGCAATTTGGCAGGGTGTATCCTGGATGATTGAATTTCACTGGATCACGTTTTGAAAAAGTGGTTCCCAGACATTTAAAATGTTTGTATTTCTTGTTTGACTTTGGCTTTTCTCCTGTTTACAGATCTGTTGGACCTGGGAATTCTGTATTCCTATGTTAAGCTGGAATGTTTACCTAGGCCCTTTGTTTCCTCTGGAGAAAGATGGTCCAGAAGACATAATGGCTTAAAATAATTTTTTTCCCTCTCTCTTTTGAAGGAAAACCACAGATTTTCCATGGCAGAGCTTTGAAAACATATACAATTGCCATGTTTGGTGGAGGTGAACAGAAATGCATTTTGTTTGAACAGAGTAGGATGCAGATTGCGAGACTTAGTTTGCCTGGCTACAGATCTCTGTGGTGGTGGAAACACCACAGAGACCTTGACTGTTCAAGCAGTTTCATGTCCCACTTCCACTTCATAATAGTCTGAGAGTTTGGCCTGTATGTTGTTCCAAGATATTAGAAGTGATTTTTGTTTCAGTTCAACACTATGAGGACACGGTCCCACTCACATCATTACCATCCAAAAGGTGAAGCCTTTAATGTTCAGTAGTTATTTTCAATGAAGTACTGCTGGAGATAAGGCCTCTCCTGCAGTAAAAGTAGGGCTCATTTACCCAGCATTGCAATAAATATTACCAGTGCATTGTTTCTACCAAGATTTTACAGCAAGGTATCAATTGCATGCTAGATACAGTGCTGTAAAAACAAACAAGCAACACTCTTCATCTACCTTTTTGTCAGTGCATGGACATAGCAGTTGGGTGTTTCTACCTATTCTTAACTCAAATTAAGGAGTGTGTGGCAAAATGATGCTGAAGACAAAGTAGTTTTCACAATTATCTCCTGGAATTACATAGTGAGACAGATATTTGAAATATTTTGGGGATTTACACAGTCTTCTGGCTTGAATAAAGTGGAAAATTGTATTGTCTTCATTGTGGCTTTGCTTCCCGGTAGTTAGTTCAAGCTAGGAACATGATAGTCTCCTAGTGCAAAGAAAACTAGATGCTTTATATCCTAGCTATAAAGGACGTTTTCCCAAGGAAGCTGAAGGGGCACAACATTAAGGTAAAGTCTCTTGGTATCATTATTTATTATTTGTATTATGAAAGATACTTTTTTCCTCTTATATGCTTTACAAATCTGAAAGAAAAGACGGGTCTTTGTGCTAAAAAATACATTGTTCTAAATAAGTGAATTCCAAGGTCGCATTAAACCATTTTCCTGGATATCAAAGGAATACAGAATTTACCCTGACGTTTCCTAAGTGATGTTCTTTCTTTGCATAGTTATTCCAAGTACCATATTCTGCCCTCACCATGTTTCTCAGCACAGACCAGAAGGAGAGAGATTCTGCAACAGCATACCGTGAGTGTGATCTGGGCTTTCTCATGTGGATTAGGGCTGAGTTTTATTTAAAATCATTCTCTATCTATAGGAAGTTCCTAATGGTTTGTGTCCCTAAACTGGACTTTTATATGAGATTTTTAATATCTGATGAAAAATGTTTTGTCTTGTAAATGCTTCCATTTTTCTAGCTAAATACGATACATGAATGTTTTATTGTCTCAAATTGTCTGATTAGCTATAAACTCTTTTTGGTTTATTGCTAGCCTGACGAAACAATAAAAATCACTCTTACCCAAGCCAGGATAGGGAATAATGATTTCATTTAAAGGTGATTTGTAGGGGAAAAAACAAAGTGCTGATCTTTGTTAACATTCAATTAAAGAAAGCCTGAAAGTAATTTTGAGTATTTTCTTTTCTTTTTTTTTTTTTTTTTAGTTTGGATTTCCTTAGTTTTGTGTTTCGTGTTATAAATTCAAATCTCCAAGCTGTTTTCTCTGAAAAAATTTCTAGAACTCATAGAGCCAAGACAGTTAACCCAAGGAGAGTAATTTTGTGTGCATGTTCACACCAACTGAAATCTCTTTTTATCTCACCTGTGTTTGTTTAATTCTAACATATACCTGGTAGTTTAAGGACAGATCTTGCTGTAATATAACTAGCACTCTGAGTGTATTATTCAAAAGAATGAGGGCTTCCAGACCGTATCTCTGGCTCTTCAACAATCAAAGCCAGACAAAGTTTTTGGTGTGAAGCAAATCAATCAGACCAGAAAAGCGCGATGAAAATATTTTCAAGATTTCCTGTATAGATCATAAATTGAATGTAAGAACAGTTTCTTCCCTTCCTACTCTCTTCAGCTCTGTTCTCACGCCTTCTTTATTATGTCATTGATATTTCTCACAGCCACCAGCATTAAGCAAGGTAAAGAGAAAAGAGTGCTCAAATGTCATATGAAAGACTTTTCTGTGTATTAATCTGTCCTTCAGTGTTGCTTTAGAAAAACTTGTTGGTTTTTTTTTTGTTGCATCTGTTTTCTCTTCCTGGCAAGATCCCTTTTCTTCTCCATTAGTTCTTCTAACCTTCAACATCCTTGCTTGAGTATGTTGAAAACTAGACCGTAGAGGCACAATGAAATGGCCACAAGTGCTAAAAAAAATCATGTCAGGAATTCTATATAAAATATCCCCTGAGCAACCCAATCCCTTTCCAGCCACACGGAGCAGTTGTAATTTGCATTATCATCAACTATCTCAAGAGAAAGTCTGGGCTAGCAGTCATAGGACAGGACTAAACAGCGGGAGATTCCAGTTGTGTTATATTCTTTGGCACTGACTGTATTCTGAGTCATCTGGCCTAAATTCTAACTAAATCCATGTACCTAGTGTTTTCTATTGTCTGGTTTTATGTCTTCAGAGGCTGTGATCCAAATAAATGTGCTTTCCTATCTGCTAGTCCCATGCAAGGCTTCACAGGCATGTGAAATTTGTGCTCATAAAAGCTGTTGAACTCCATGGCTGAGAGGTGTTATACATTTATAGAGTCATTTTATTGTTCAGGAAAGGGTTTAACTTTTGAGTGTACAGCTGTTCTCCTAAGCCAAGTTAGGGTGGTGGAATGAACCATAGTTCTGACTTTTCAAATGTTGGTATTTTTGTATATTTTGACATTATATTTGTTTGGGGCGAAGTTCTCTTGTAATGGTTATGATTATGTGAGAATCTGTTTCTTTTTTTTTTTTTTTTTTTTTTTTAATAACAGGGTCTTACTTAAACACTTTTCTCTGGCCTCTCTTTGGGTTACATAGAGAATTCTTCTTGTTGATAGACTTTCTTGGATGCAGTCAGTTGTTCAGGCATTTCTTCAACTGCTTAAAGAAAAACAGCTGTGTAATATGAAGTGTGCTTTTAAAAAAAGGTTGAGATCAGAGGATCCATTACCCTCTACTGGAGACAGGCAGAACTGCTTATTAGAAATGTTGTCCTGCTCCTTACTATGAATGCAAGGTAGAAATACTGGATTCCAAAGTTGCTTTAACGTAAAACCTACTTACATTCTGGGCAAAATATAACCTACTTCAAGGTACGATCTGCTTTCTGAAAGATCAGCTTTCTTGGCTAAGGTGGAAAGTAATAAAGTATAAATTGTGAGCACACAAGAACTTTGAAATATGCCTGTTTCTCAGCTCTTGCTACTTCTTTAAGGTTTCATAATGGTTGTACTTCTGTTGCCTGTAATAATGCTTCTGAGTTTTATTCTATGCAAGTGCTTGGTAAAATGCAGATGTAGAGCCCTAGATAAAGGTTATAAATGTGTAGGTGGTGTTTTGAATGAAAGGTGACACTCAGGTGCATTGCCTTTGCACTGGGTAGCAGCAGTTTGGAAGCTCTGCAAGGCCCATCTGAGACTAATTTGTGTCCAAACACTTCAGATCAGGTTGAGGTTAGGATTTCCACCACCTGCCAGCACTTTTGTGTGTATGTTTTTTGTGTCCCTGTTCCTAATCTGTTCATGTATTCAACCCTACGTATCTTTATGCAAAATGCATAAATAGTCTCTGGAGCTAGGACAGGAATTCAGTTTATCTCCCTGCCATGGGGATGCTGGGTATGGCTATATTGCATGGAAACAGGAGTAGTAGGTTTGAAATCCCTCAGGGTGAGAAGGATCTAGAACCCAGGTTACTCATCACTCGCCTGCAACAGAGCTGTAACAACTAGACGCCTTGTTGACTGATTTTGAGGACATGAAGCATGAGCTGGATGCCCATGGTTAGATCTTCACTTTCCCACATGGAGACTTTTGTTGTTTTTTTAGATGATCCCTTGTTCTGATGGTACTTGGAGTGTTAGTGATCTGATGCTGAGGTAGCTAGTTCTGCCCGACTGTGGCCTTAGGCAGTTAAGAACAGCATCTGCTGTTTCCAAGAGCTTTACAGCTGTATTATTTCCAACATAACCCTGAGGTAAGTATCATTTTATTTTACAGTTGGAGAACCTAGAGGTCTGATCAGATAAGTGGCTTGAAAAATGTTTCACAAGTTACTGTTAAGCTTGAGATGAAAAGTCTGATGTTATGGCTCCTAGTCCTGCTTTGGAAGAATGGCATTCAACATTTAAACTGTGTTCCACTCTGGTCCTCGAGATGAAAGGTTTCAATGTTAGCCCCTTGTGGCTCTTAATCTCAGCCGCATCCATCATACAGCTTGTGTAAAAAGAGGCTCTTCCATGGAGGCTTCTAAAAACTGATCAGAAAAGAGATGACAAAACTCTCTTTCCTTGACACTGTTCTGTTACTGACCTTCCAGTTCTGCTGTTCTTGGTATTGCTTTTTCTGCTTGTTCCCTGTAAAAGAAAATGGTTTGATGAGGTTTCTCTTCAGTGAGACAAATGAGCAAGCTTGCAGACAGTGCAGGAATCGAGTTCTCATCCTCAGTGCACATTTGTGCTTCCTTCTTTAGGAATGACCATGGAAGTGCTTGGGACCTTGATTGGAGCTGCACTTCAGGGGCAAATTGTGGCTAGTGCTCATGTCTCTCATCACTGCACTGTGAATCCCCCAGTAAACACAACTGACTCCTGGCATGACGCTCTCAGCTTTCCAGACCCCTCAGGTCCCCTGTCTCATCAAGTAAGTGTCTATGGGAGCACACTAAAATCTCTTAGGGAGAGGGATGGGGGTGTTTCTGTAATACTGTATCATATCATCCAGCCGGATGAGCATGAACATGACTTCCTGGAAATCAGTAACGCTGGAGCTGAAACAATGACCTTGTTGCAAACAAGGTTCCTGTCCGTTGTCTTTGCAACCACTTCTCAGCGTGACAGCAAAATTACACTGAGGAGCTTTGCTGAAGATGCCAAACTGTAAAGTAACTAGGAGGTATATGGCCATCCTTTGTTTTCACTAGGGGCTGATTTACAGTTTAAAATAGCAGCTTAGTAAGAAAAGATTTACCCTGCTAGGAACACTGCATCCGGTTCTGGGGTCCCCAGCACAAGAAGAACATGGACCTGTTAGAGCGGGTCCAGAGGAGGGCCACAAAAAAGGTCAGAGGGCTGAACACCTCTCCTGTGAAGAATGGCTGAGAGGCCTGGATTTGTTCAGCCTGGAGAAGAGAAGGCTCCAGGGAGACCTTATTGCGACCTTTCAATATATAAAGGGGGCTTATAAGAAAGATGGAAAAAGACTTTTTACCAAGGCCTGTAGTGACAGGACAAGGGTCAATGGTTTTAAACTGAAAGAGGGTAGGTTTAGATTAGATATTAGAAGAAATTCTTTACTGTGAGGGTGGTGAGGCACTGGAACAGGCTGCCCAGAGAAGCTGTGGGTGCCCCATCCCTCAAAGTGTTCAAGGTCAGGTTGGACAGGGCTTTGAGCAAACTGGTCTAGTGAAAGATGTCCCTGCCCATGGCAGGGGGGTTGGAACTAGATGAACTTTAAAGGTCCCATCCAACCCAAAAAATTCTATGATTGTATGAAAAAATGGTGGCTATAGCAGGATCTTTCAGTTCAGCAACACTGCTTTTCAAAGTAGTTATCACTAGGGATCTCCTGTAAAGATTAATGACTGTTATGTGAACAAAACTGTAAGTCCTACTTGGAATCTGTATTCTTGTGAAGGTACAAAGCACTGTTGAAAGTAAATGGTTGAGAACAGGTAATTAGTGGGAGCAGGGCTCAGTGGTTAACATGTGGAAAGAGCCTAGAGATCCATGCTTGTTTATTTCATTTTCCACAGGAGATTTTTCCTGTAATCCTGCACAAGTACTTTAATCTCTTCATGCTTCAGTTTGCTATTTTTTGAGAAACAAAAGAGAAGGTTTTATATCTGGGAGGAAATCCTAAAGCCTGATCCAAACCTCAGTGAACACAATTTGGTAGTTTTCCATTGTTTCCAGTGGAAACAGGCCCTGAATCAAACAATTACCTTGTGTAGTGTTTTTTTCTATGTCACTTGTGAAATTAGCAGTTTGTTGATTCCATTTTACCAATTGCTAGATTCAGTCTTTCTTTTTATATTTTCATCTATTTCTCTGTGAGTGCATGTACTAACTGATACATAAAATCCCCCATGAAGAAGATTCCTTGACCTGAGTCTAATCTCAGGTGCTTGGTGCAAATTAGGATGTGCGTATTCGTGCTCTGCTTATTGTAGTTGAATAGTTCCTATTACCACTCTTCAGCTGCAGTAAAATCACAAGCTAAAGGCATGCTTTTGAATTTGCATACCCTGGCACCAGCACTGGTAGTCCAGGAAGGGGACCAAGGCATGCCTCCCCTCACTCCCAGACACTATTCTCTGTCTCTGTGCTACCTGATCCTTGTTTTTTGGCACAGGTCATTGTAAGGCTTCTCAGAGTGCTGATCTGGGAAACTGCTTGGGGAGACCTGCTGCTCCTGTAGGTGGACATGCCATTTTATAGCTGATTAAAGCATTTTTGAAGCTGCTTGTTAGGTAACTTCTAGATATATTTTATCAAGACACAGAACACCATCCTCTCTTCCTTTTTAGCTTCTAGGACAATGGCTTGATGTAGAAAACTACTGTGCTATTACAGCTCTGTGAATTGTCAAGAGGAGTAGCTTGAAAAGTTGTGCAGCAGGCTGAATTTCATTGCACAGCAGATTCCCTGTCTGAATCTGCTTTATGCCATAATCACCAACTTCCACTTTCAAATCTCTTAAATGGCTTTCAAGGAAGAAAAAAAAAACAACCATGCTCTTGATTTATTTCCTTTCTGTCTAACCACATGTGCTTACCTGTCCTTTTTGAGGTAGGAGGGAGATGGAGAAAGAAGCTTCACAATGAGTTGAATGTCAAGTAGGTTTTTATATTGAAAAAATAACAAAGGTACATAGCCTAAAGTAGCCAGAGTTTGTAGGTAGAAGTAGTATCTTTCATTAAACTAGCTACTAACACTGGGAAACAATGGAAAAGCTTTTAGACACAAAGATTTTTCAGATCTGAAGAAGTCACAGTGTGACTGGAAACTTGTCTTCTTTTTTTTTTTCAGCTATATGGGTTGATTTAATTAAAGATATTACCTTCCTCATTTCACTTCCTTATTTACAAGCAGCCATGTGTTCATTTTTTGTGAGGATTTCCTGTTTATTTGTTTTGGTCTTTGGTTTTTCCCTTCTTCCACTCTTTTGTGTGTCACCTTCTCAGGTTTTGTAGATGAGTAGTATCCCATGGTTGAGAATGGTCTGAATTATGGTGTCCAACTGTTTTCCTTGAGTAAGATTCTGTTCACTCCTTGTTCTTTCCTGCCCTTTTTCCCAAAGAGCCCTTAGGCCTGGGCAGAGACCATAGGCTGAATGAACTGCTCTGGCAACCCACCTCACTCCCTGCTGCCCTGTTTGTGAGGGCCAGAATTTTTTGCCATTCACATAACCTGGCATCAATTTGGTTGGATTATAGGAGAATGCATGGCCACTGAGCCACGTGGGGGAGCTGCTTCCATCGCATGACAGGGCACTTGTCTTTTGTTCACACCACGGATGACAGGATATGCACCTAACTGCACGATCAACCGGAGATGTTGGGTCTTGAATTTTGGTTGTGTGACTGATGGACATTAAGTTATAAGTTGAGGCAGGACTAGGGTCTATGAACCTGAAGTACCTCCGTCAGTCTACAAAAAAATATTTAGAAGAGGCCGAATCTTGATTGTTTCTTTTAGTGCCATTCAGGAGTATGACCCTGACCCTTTTTGTCACGAGGACTAATTCTTAGCTGCTCAAGAGCACACATAGTTTAAAAGAAGACCTAGTAAATGATATTATTTTGCTCATTATTAAAGAAAGGAAGTGGAAGAAATGGTTATTTCTAAGCTCTCCTGAAGTTGTAACTGTAAGCTTAGGAGTGGATCTTTCCTACTGGAAACCAAGCATGGATATTGATACAGTTCATAGATGGGCTAACAAGTTTTGTTTAGGGTCCGAGAATCTTATTTGGCCTATCATGAATACCCTTGATAGTTTAAGCTCAAATTACACTTAACGATGGCTTGTGAAAGAAAGCATTTAATTCAATTGCGTCAAGCAAATTAACAAATAAATAGACATGAAATATAAAATTCATAAGAATCCTGTTACTATCCTTTTTTTCAGCCCCTTCTCTCCTGGCTAGGCTGCTTTTGAGGCTGAAATTACCTCGTTTAAGTGAATTCAGGTATCTACAATATTGCAGTCTGTAGTCTGTGCAAGCCATAACCAGTAGTATAAAAATACTCTGTGACTTAATTTATAGCTCTAATATTAAAAAAAAAAAACAAATCTTTATCCCAAATAAAGAATAGTCCTGCATTCCTTTATTTCACCATGTCCCCTTCTGAAATGTATATTATCAAATCTTAAGCTATCTTAACAAAAGCTGTTGACTTGAAGATTGTCTATACTTACATGGTTCATCTATACTAAGTGACTTTATATTTGGGAGTATATTCTTGTAATTGCATGCTTGTTTACAAACTGCTTCCTAGATTTATAATAATTTCATTTGCAATATATAACTCATAATTTGGAATTCAATTTTCCTATCAAATAATCATTGTGTCATAAAGCTCTATAACCAGCACTTATTTTATCTTTGATAATGCAATATAAAATAAATTATTACAGAATACTAAAGCAAAGTAATTTTTTAAAGCTTTATTCCAGAGTCAGTGTAATCAGAGTTAGAAACAATAAATGTGATCTGATGGTGTGGGAGGTATCCTTGGAGGCTTTGTTCCCCTGGCTAATTGGAAGCAAAGTAAGTAACTGGGAAAACAAGCATGCAAGCTACCATATTCTCAAAACATTGGCATGAAAGTGTGATTTCTAAAATTTATTAGAGCCTAAAGGAAGTTTTTATTATCACTATGTATAAAGGCAGTAACTGTAGTAATTATGTTTACATCAGTACTATCACCCAGCATGAAGATACAGATTGCAGTCTGTGTAGCTAGATCAACTGGTTTTACTAAAAATTAGTAATCACTAATCACTCTGCGGATGCTGCATGTTTTTGATAGATGACTGTGTATGTCTATAGCTAGTCTTAACATAAGTAAATTTTTAAAACGTTCAGGTTGCCAACACAGTAGCCCTTTTGTTCACAGCTTTCCCCCCCCCAACTCTCCCCCCTAGAAATATATACTTGTGTGTCCTGGATTTATCCTAAAGTAGGTGTTGTTTATAAATGAACTGCAGAAGTGAACATTTTTCAGAGAGGTAAAAGACAGACAGTTGTCTGTATGTAGACAGGCATTTCTTCATTTGCAGATGACTCACCAGAAGGAGACTGAAATTTTCGTAATGACTTGTCACTCTCCTGTCACAATTTCAAATATGTCGGTTTTCTTTTCAAAGGCAAAAGTTTATATGATTGCAGCAGGGGTCATAGGAGGTGTGTATCTTCTTGGAATTGTCATTCTTTTTCTTGGAGTAAAGGAAAAAGATGGTAAGATATTTTTAAATATGCTGAGATTTAATAATAATTATTTCACATTCATCTCTGGAAAAGATTGTTATTTTATGTATTCTGCTCCTCTTAGATCCTTATGCCTTAAATTCAGACAGAGCAATTCCTTTCTGTAAGGGGCTTGGACTCACCATGAAGCATGGTCCATATGTGAAGCTTACAGCTTCATTTCTTCTCATCTCGACAGCAGTTCAGGTAACTTCAGACTCTCTAAGTCAGTGTGTTGGCCTCATTCCAATCCCAGCATGGGAGAGTCTGCGGCAGCTAAAATGCAAATAACCTTTGGCTGGTGACTGAAGGTGGTGATCTAGGGGGTGGTGCATTCCCTACAAATCAGTAGGGAACCAGAGTCCTTTTTTGGTGCCTGGGGTCCTGTGCGGCTGGAGATGGTTCTTTCAAATAAGAAACAAAACCAAAGTCCTGACCATTTAAAGATGGCTTTTTTATTTTTTTCATAAAAGGTGAGGAACTAGTCCTAGTGACCCAGATTGGGTCATTGTATGTTATCCGTCTACAGTCTCCTGTGGTTTCTGTTGCTTAGAGAATGCTTTTTCTCTTCTCTTCTCTCTGTTCTTCTCTGTAGTGTGTGTCCCTTTAAACCATTGCCCCTTCCCTTTGCATAGGTGGCTGTTCTCAGTGGCTGAACTGGTTCTTACGGAGTCTTTTGTGATGGAAGGCATTAGGTCAGAGTACGAAGATGTTCAGAGGCTTACCTGTCTCAGAGATAGGTAGAGCTAATTTTCAAATGAGGACCTGCGGTTGAATGTGGCTCTCGCAAAAAGATGCAATTCGTCCTCCCATAGAGAGAAGCTGTAGAAAAACTTAAAGCCACTCAGTAAGAAACCCTTACTCCCCATAGTCCAGCAGTCTTTTTAAAGCTTGATTTTTAAGCTATGTTCAACTCAGTAAATATGTTATTTTAATGTGAACCTGTACATATCAGTTGAAGTTGGCTTTATTTTGAAAAGCAAATAATATCCACGTTTTTGTCAACAGACTCTTACTCACATGAGCCATTGATCAAGTGAATATCAGGACAGAGAGCAGTGCTGCATTCACCAGCAGTCCTGGTGAATTAGTAAGTTCCTTGGAAGGGCTGCTTAAAAGTCTGTTTGCCAAAGAAGCACTGAAGTTTCCTGTTGGATTTGGGCACAGTTAGTAGGCTGTCCTTTACAGCATCTGTCAGTCCTTGCTGGAAGGCCTAAGGGTGAGAAACAATAGCTGAAGCATTTCTGCTTACATCTGGGAGCTGCAGGCACTGTGAGCAATAGCAAGGACAGGGAGAAGATGAAAGATGAAAGGTCCCTTATGGTCCAGATCCTTCCATCATCCATTCAGTCAGTAAGGATACAGTGCACATCTGGTTGCTGGCAGCCAACTACTTGCTGACAATACTAAAGAGGAAAAGATCTTCTGTCAGTCCATATCTCATTTTTCTATTTGTACAGACTGAAGGGAAGGTGTGAGGGGAGGCAGAAGCTGGAAGTTGTATTGATCCAGTTCAGCCAGCATGAGCAACCCTTGCTATTGTTATTCAAGGGAGTGACGCTGACTTCGTGGAATTTAGAGAGTGGATTACTGGTGAGCAGAGGAATAGGCAGGTAAAGATGCATTGGCCATAATCCCAGAATGTGATATTCTACATCTAAAATGAAGGCAGTGTAAACTTGGACGTAAGATAGGGAAGGCTTTGGTGGCAATGGAGAAGGGATATAACTTTTATCCTAGTTTGCATACAGATGATTGGCCGCTTATAATTGGCACAGACCTGCAAATGCCCAAAGGAGCAAGAGTTGATCATACTGCTGTGGTGTGAGTATTAAATCCTCCTCTGTCACTCCACTTCTGCAGAATTGCTGGAGCTGGGCCTGAACCATATTCCGGTGTTCAGAACCCCCCTGAATTCTGCTGTATGGTGGCAGTGGCTTTACCTGTCGTTATAACACAGTGCAGCTAGATCCTCCCATCCAATGAGTACTCAGACTTATGGAGATATCTGGCACAACGCTACACTCCATAGCCAAGGTTGTATACAAAACCAGCAGTTAGCTGCTTTACTACAGGAAGTTGGCATGAGTAGTAACTGAAGAGTAACTTGTTCCTGAGTCAGAGCTTCTGGTGAAAGATTTATGGCATTGCTATGGAAAAGGAAGGGCGATTTCTTGCAGTAGTCTGCATCTGTGGCTGTGACAACAACACAAGGCAATTGCAACACAGGGAATAAAGCCTTTAGATGGAATCCTCTCATAAGGCAGTTGCTGTTTTGGTCATTTTTATGCTGTATTAGCTGCATAATTTACCTAAATAATGATTTACCTCTTGCTTGCCCCAATATTAGTGGCATGTTACTCCAGTGATAGCAGGAGTTGCTTCTTTAAATCATTGCAAACGAGGGAAGAATGAGACTCCCAAATCCTACATTTAACAAATCGGTCACTAATTATGTTTGGCTAGTATGGAGTGTGACGTCATTTTTGTCTTTTTTAATTTTCCTTTCTTTTTTGGTGGTCCAAATGTCTTCAATTCAACAGCTGGAGCAGAGCAACTTTGTCCTATTCTGCACTCATGCTGCTGATCTTCGCAATCACTTCCAGTATTTGGTGGTGACCATCTTGGTGAGTTGCACTTCTCTCCCATATTTTTATTTGATAGCTGGTTCTCACTGGTTTTTGGCACAAAATAACAGAAGGTAAGAAGAGTTTTGAGTCTAGACAGAGCTGTTAAGCTACACCATCTTTTGCATTGCCTGTTTGAAATAAAGCTGGTGTTCTCTACTATACTTCTACAAAATTAATGCTTTGGAGCTTTTAATTCATTCCTTGTTGCTTTTACCTGTAAGCCACTTTCTGCTCCTATAAAGGGCAAAAGCTGCTGCCAGAAAGGAAGTCTGGAATTTTAGCTCCTTTTCCCCTTTCCCCAGTCTGATATACTGAAAATTAAACAACTTTAATTTGTGTATTCATACACATGAGCCTTCTGGGCTAGGCAGCTTGCAAGGATAAATATTTAAAATATCCAGAGTTGTGAAGGTTCCTCTCTAGAGCAACTGGCAGTGTGATAAAAAGATTCTTTTACAGAACCTTTTTTCTTGACATGCAGAGGTAGAATTCTGCTTGCTTAGGTGATACTTATAACTCAGTTACACACTGCTCCTGTATCGCATGATTTACTTTATGATTACAAGTAGTATTAGTTGAAAACTGCCATTTTCATCCTTCTGACCACAGTCCTTTTAATGCAAGTAGAACATTTAATGTTGCATAATTACTAGGATGTGCACATACTGCACTTCTGAAATATTTTGTAGAGAATTTGTCTACCATATAGAATACTGCAGCAGTCATTTTCAGGGAAGCTGTTGCATGATTTCTGACCCATTTGGCACAGACACTTTGTGGAACCATCTTAGGGGAACTTCATTTCCACTTCTTGGTCACAGTCTCCCACCCTTCCTACCCCTTTTTGATTCTTCCTTTCCCACATTATAAGACAGATCTTTTCCAATGATTAAAACCAAAATGTTGGAGAGCAAGGGATGACTCTTGGGTATCTTAAGGCTCTGCAAGTAATGGACACCAAGAAGGGAGGCAAGAGACAGTAGAGTTAAAGTCAGTAAAGAGTGGAATATAACTGTAACAGTGAAGATGACATTTGAATTGAGGTCAATTGTAAGACTGTCATTAGTAGCAATACTTCAGTGCATTGGTACTATGTTGCCTATGGTTGTTGCTGCTAGCAGGTGACTATTACAGTATATGAAATGGTAATGTTGGCTGTAAGCGACTATTTCTCTTACAGGTTGTTCCTAAGAATAAACATGTAGTATGGAATATGTACTTTAAGATAAGTGTATCTTGTTCTTCAGCTCTCTTCCTGTACGGTGGGGTAGAGCTTAATTCACTTATTGTTTGTCAGGTTCAGATAATGAGGCAAAAGGCATTAGCACAAAGTATGACTATTTGCAATATGTTTGACCTTTAATGACTGTGTCATGTATAGCTTTAACTGCTGTGTCTTACGTTAGGAAAAGGAAATTTTAAGACACGGCCTTCTGATTTTTGACTGTGGAAAACCCTCTCATGGATAGCTTTCGTTTGTAGTATGTAATAGTGAATAAAAAAGAAGATCACTCAAAGGATGAGGAGAAACAGGAATCTGCAAGTTCACCTTTCGTTCAGAGCATAATGAACTAGACAAAAAGATGTCTGTGAGCTCTACAGCTGAAGAAGACAGTGGCAGTAAGCACAGTACAAATACGTTTTTTTTGTCAATTGTAGGTATCAGCAGCTGTGAGCATTCCCTTCTGGCAGAAGTTTCTGCAGCGGTTTGGCAAGAAGTGTGCAGCATGGGGCATTTCGGTAAGCAAATCCTTTGAGAAAAAAATCTCCTTGTGCTCACTTCATTTGACAACTGGAGCCACTTCAGGAGCTCTTTCAAGTGCTTATTATCCCAAGCTACATGAAATTTGCTCAGTTTCAGAGCTTGTTTTAAATTGTTATACCAAATTTCAGACAGATTCCAAGTTTCCAGGAGAAACTTTTGAGAAATGGATTGATGCTGAAGGGAGGTCCCGGTTTGTTTAAGAATCCGCACAAGCTCTGCATTTGATGTCATGCTCAGGTCCCTAACCACCACCCCCCTTCCCATTCTTTGATATAATACACAGATATCATTCCCTTAGTCTATGGACCACCCCTATAAAATGTCTTTAAAATGTCCACAAATGTCCACAAAATGTCCATTGAGTTCATTTAGTCCATGACTTTGGGTTCCATCTGTCATGGTGGTCACTCAGGACAGGAGAGGTGGTGTGTTGCATGGTGTTATTGGGCACCAAAGCCAGCTCAGGTTGGGTCACTGCTGCACTTGCGCTGCTTCTTGTAAGGCTTGTCCTCCATTGGTTCAGGTGGTTCCTGCTATAGTAATTCCCATAAGATGCAACTCAAATCATAGCTTACAACAATTTAAAGGTATATCCATTACAATCTCCACCCTCGTCCCTTTGGGCCAGGTTATTGCAATCCTCCCCTTGCCCCTGCTCCGGCTTGGACTTATCCACAGACTGCAGTCTCTTAGGGGTGTACCTGCTCGAAGTGGAGCCTTATCGATGAGCCACAGTCTCTCCAGAGGTATAACTGCTGCGGCATAGACTCATCTACTGCCACAGTCGCTTTGAGGTGCACCTGTGGCCACCTTTTCCGTGGGCCACAACGCCTTCAGAGATACACTTGCTCTAGCGTGCCTTTACCCACAGCCACAGTCCCTTCAGA